TTAACTCACAAATCACTATTCAGAATCTATTAGCTTTTGTACTTCGCAGAAGTTACCACACACACAAAAACACACCATTAACAACACTATCTAGAAATGTCTTTCTTGAGAGAAAACCAGGCACATATTTAAATGGAAAAGCTTGTGTGGGTTTGTTTTTTAAAAAAAATAAATGCAAGCCAATGTACAAATGAGATGGAATGGACTTTAAAGAAATAGACCAATTAGTCCACTACCAATGCAACTTTAGAAGAGGCATAAGTTAGAATATGATCAGCAGGGTTGCTGCTACGCCAGAACTTTGGAATATTATCTTCAATTGTCATTTTTTAGGGGGGAGGGGGAGCTTAGCCTGCTTTTGCATGGAGTCTGTTCCAAATATTACACCAAGAAAGAACCTGTTTTGTAATTAACCGTCTATCCTCCAACAGTGAAGGCCAGGGCTAGCAACTTGCCCTGGGCACCAAAGTAAAGCTCAGTATTTGAGAGTACTGTCTGCGGTGAGCTATGGTGAAGGTGAGAAGTAGCTCTGGGCACCTTTAATGGACATTGTAAAACCTAACAGCTTAACAGGTTTTTCTTTGTTTCTTTCTTTCAAACTTGAAAAGGCACACAACACTACAAAACTGACCGCTGAGTGAGGGAGGAGGTGGCATTTTCACCTAAGGTTTTATTTATCTTGGGGCCAGTCCTTGAGAAAGCAAATACAACAAGGCCACCCTAGACGACAACAGGAAATGTGCAAGGGAAATGGCATTTCCTAAAATACGCAGTGCCCAAGCTATTTTAAGTTTTCAAACTTGGCACCTTAAAAAGTTGTGGCCAAGCATGGAACTCACACCAGCTAAAGTCAAGCAGCTTCCCACAGCAGACTTCAAGAGGAGCCCATGTAGCGCAAAGGTGGACAGGAAGTAGACTGGAATCTGTTAAGCGTAGGGTCACTGTAAATGATGACTCCCGATTACTTAAAAGCCAGCATCAAGACAACTACTTTCCCCTACTCCAAATAAAGGTCCTGGAGATCTTGATCAAGATGCGATTTGTACTTGAATACACAGGTTCCACTCAATGACTCATGATGCCCATCGTGATACAACGTTCACCCTCTCAGCTACCATTTTGCATCTGACTGCACCTGAGCAAATATCTGCCCCAGCTCTGGCCAATGGTTCTAGAAAAAAACATAGTTCCTATAATCCAGAGTTCTGCTCACCCATTTTGTGGAGCAAATGGCTTCAACCAGCGAGTCAGGATCCACATCCCCGGTGAGTCGAGGTCACATCCTGATCTAAGGTTGGTCACAACAGCAGCACTCTCACTATACAAACAGGTGGGAGGAGCTCCTAGGGTGGGAGGCTGGGGAAATACAGGTGAGCTTCTAGGTGACAGCTGGGAGGGCTCACTTTTGTGTGTGTGGAATAAGTTGTGCAGACTTAATTTTGAGAGAGGATGTTGTAATTTCCCTTTCTTCTTATCTTTCTTTTCTTATTTTGGCTGGTGTGCTCGGGTACACAGCAGCAACCCATCTCCAAGAAGTCCTACACAAAACAGATTGTGAACTTCAGTCAGATTATTACAGGCCTGCTTTGGGAGTAGGGAGCTTTGGCTGCCCTGACTATTTTTTTCAGGGAGAAAGAGAGCAGAGCATGTTCCTGTTGCTCCAGTCTGCTTCACATTGGAAGGGGCTTGGGCTGTCCTTCCCTGCAGGCGTGTCTCAGAAACTACTGCTCAGGAACCAGTTCAATCTTATCCCCATGCTGAGGAAACACAGCTCTGCATCTCCTTGTCATCTCATTCCAGGGAAGTTCTGAAGCTGAGTCAGTGTTAGGCTGAATGAGGGTTTAACGTCCCGAAACTCTTATCTAAACAAGGCAAAGGTGTTCTTGGTCATTTCACCTACTGGTGCAGGGACAGGAAGTCAGTCTGTTCCAGAAAGGGTTGCACAACCCTTGAAAGATCAGCGTCGTAGCTAGAGAGAAATTCTGAGCCCAGTCTTGTCATCAGATGGCCAGGTGTCACATCTGGCCAGGAGAACTTATGCCCAGTCTTGGCTGGTGTGCCAGTTGCACCTGCTCCTGCTCCTGGCTTGTATCGCATACAGTGTTAAGTAACCAGCGCAATGATTTACACTTTCCCACACCCTTAAATCTATCCTGGGGCTTTAACTGTGGCAGCACCCAATGTGAAACTCCTTGCCCCAAAAAGCTATGCCATCTCAGTCTTCGCGTGCCACCAGTGTTTTGAAGGCATTTTGGTCTTAAACAAGCCTTTGATCCTGTTTACTACGTGACCTAATTTAGTCTATTGTTAGTTCTGGCTATTTGTTTTAATGGTACTATTTTTGGTCCTGGATTGCTTTGTAGAAGAAGAAGAAGAAGAAGAAGAAGAAGAAGAAGAAGAAGAGGAGGAGGAGGAGGAGTTTGGATTTGATATCCCGCTTTATCACTACCCGAAGGAGTCTCAAAGTGGCTAACATTCTCCTTTCCCTTCTTCACCCGCAACAAACACTCTGTGAGGTGAGTGAGGCTAAGAGACTTCACAGAAGTGTGACTAGCCCAAGGTCACCCAGCAGCTGCATGTGGAGGAGCGGGGAAGCGAACCCGGTTCACCAGATTACAAGTCTACAGCTCTTAACCACTGCACCACGCTGGTCCTGTTAACAATCACATCATTAAAAACATCTTTTGTTGTTGTTGCCAGTCTGTTTACTTTGCAAGCAGCTTTGAGTGACTTCTACTGAATGTAAAAATTGGATATAATTTCTAGGATAAATAAAATGCACGTCTAGTTGTGACTGCCACTTGGGTATACTGGCAAAAACCTGGAGCTACAAAGCCAATTGCCACTCCAAGACCGAGATACTTCAGTGGAGTGAAGGCCTCAACAAAACAATAAAACAATTATTCCAACAGCTTGTAAATGCAAACAAGCATTTTATGTTACTGCTATGATGTTCTTTAGGAAGAGCTCATCCTCTTCTGTGCAAAAAGAGAGGGGGGGAATACCATGCAAGGAGTTTGCTTGTCATTTCTTTTCACCCAGTAGCTGCTTCACACTCTTAAATCTGAAATGTGTACTCTGGGTCAGCTTGCAGGCAGGCAGTTATAAAGGTTACATAAGCCTGCCTTTTAATTGAGACAGTACATTTGCGGCTACAGTGCTTTGCTCGGTACATAGTAGGTGAAAATCTTCAGTGATTCATCACTGCAAAACTGCTCTTGCAGAATCCTAGACAGATGCACAAACAGAGCTCTCCACTCTCTGCATGCCTCGATGAGAGCGTTAGAAGTGTCATTCTGATATTATTAATAGAGATCCAAGTACATGCGGCTCTGGCTCAGCAGCTTGGATGTGGAAATTCTGTCCAACATTTTTTTTAAAGACCTTTTCAGATTTGTATTAATCCCCCAAAAGATAAAGGTAACCAGTTATTGCCAGCTCTAAATCTCTCTTTTCCATTCTCAATTTCCTATTGCTCCTACACCTAAATCAACCTACCATATTTTTCGCCCCATAGGACGCACTTTTTCCCCTCCAAAAATGAAGGGGAAATGTGTGTGCGTCCTATGGGGCAAATGCAGGCTTTCGCTGAAGCCTGGAGAGTGAGAGGGGTCGGTGCGCACCGATGCCTCTAGCTCTCCAGGCTTCAGGAAGCTATCCGCAAGCCTTGAAAGCCCGACGGAATTTCCCGCGGGCTCACAAGGCTTGCGGGCAGCAGCCTGCCGCCCAAAGCACGGGGAGCCCTCTGGAGGGCGCCCCCTGCTTTGGGCGGGTGTCCGCAAGCCTTGCGTGCCCGGCGGGACCTCCCGCCGGGTGCGCAAGGCTTGAGGCGGCAGGCTGCCGCCCAAAGCACAGGGAGCCCTCCGGAGGGTTCTCTGTGCTTCGGGCGGGTGTGCGCAAGGCTTGGGGCTGCAGCCGCGGCTGGGGGGGGGAATAAATTTTTTTTATTCATTCCCCCCCCCCATAAATGAGGTGCGTCCTATGGGCCAGTGCGCCCTATAGGACAAAAAATACGGTACTTTTTAAGTTCTACTGGCATGTCATGCAGCCAATGTGCAAACTGAGAGTTGAGGTAGCCTGCATTCAAGAAACACACACTCTTCATTCCATTTTGGTTCACTTGACAAAAATAGCCAGAGGTTAACCTAGTATTCACAAGCAACCTGATAAAACTTGATTTGCTAAGTTATCTTCCTAGTCCACCATTTGCTTTTAAAAAGCAGTATCGCAAATTAAAGTGTGTGTTGTATAGGGTTCTGGCTTCTATCCATCCTGAAGCTACATGTAGTGAACTTTACTGGGTAACCTCAAATTCTAAGGTGTAGAGAAGAGGTTAACAGTGTTAAAAATACATCTTATTTTCAACCAATGTTGCTTTAAGGTTAGATTCCAGCAGAACCAAAACGGCAGTTTTCATTGGTGCCCAAGTCATACTGAAAGCAGTAAAAATGTACAGTACTAAGCTACAGCTCAGGTTACCTGTTGTGACATGATACCTGCTGCAAGTTACTCACTCCTGCAAAGGTAATTTTCAAAAGATGCAGATTTAATTTCCAGAGCAGCTACACCTGAATTAGTTGGGGGGGGGAGGGATACATAGGTACTTCCTTTTTTCAACTCCCCAACTGTTCAAATTAAATGGCAAATGTTATCAATGAAGAGTAGGGGTTCTAGCACTGTGCAGAAGGGAATGATATGACGTCTTCTGTGACGCAAATACACCATGCTTTGTGCAGTTTTAATAGCTTGCATCAGAATAAACTGCCACATAACTGAGCAGATTTTGGCATCAGTCTAACACAGAAGCCCCACTAGATAATGTGAAAGATTTATTGTTTATTATTAATTAAACATATATCTTACCCTTCACAGGGACACAGGAAACTGCCTTATACCAGGTGAGACCATTGGACCATCTAAGCTCAATATTATCTACATTGACTGACAATTGTCTCTTCAGACTCCAGGATCTCAGACCAGAAGTCTTTCCCAGCCCTACCTGGAGACGCTGGGGATTGAACCTGAGACCTTCTGCATGTGAAGCAGATGCTCTACCAGTGAGCTACAGCTGTTCCCTCAATCCCCAAGGAGCACAGGGTAGCAATCACAAAGAAGTCAAAACAATGCCAATTGAAAATGAAGCGTAATATCCAAGTAAGTTTTACTTGGAATAGATGCACTGGAAATCAATGGCCCTAAGTTCATCAGTGGGCCTAGTTGGAGTAAGACAAGCACAGGATACAACCCAGAATATGTAATCCAGCATTTGCACAACACCGGCTAGCTAAACGCTTCAGGAAAGCCCACAAGCAGGGCACAACGGCAAACAACATTAGCAACCACTGCTCCCCAGCAATGACTATTCTGTGGTTTGACACCTCTGAAGATGCTATCACAGCAGCTGCTAGACCTATTTCCCACTTTTCCAAGCTATGTCCAGGTATTAGCCACACATCATTATGGACCTTAAATTAACTGGTTGTCTGTCACAAGCATGTCTGTCCCAGACAGATCACACACAATGAAGCAGCACCTCTCTTCTGACAGTTCCTACTGAGAGGCGTCAGAAAAATATGCAAATCCCAAGTTGTGTGAGCCATCAGAACATATTGCCATTGTCCATCATTTGACTTTCAGAGATGCAAACCTGTCCTACAGGTTGCAACCATCCTAAAGATGCTAGCAAGCAATCCCCATTGGACTCATGGGGCCCCAAGGTTTGTCTGGAATGCTCAACAGCCCTTTTTCAGCCTTATTACATAATAATTTTATTATTTATACCCCGCCCTTCCAACTGTTATAAAGCACCCTTTTAGGAATATAGAAAGAAGCTGCCCTATACCAAGTCAGATCCATGGGGCCATTTAACTCAGTATCTACACTGGCGGCAGCTCTTGGGGATTTCAGACCAGAGTCTCCATCTATAGATGAATGGGATTGAAACTTGGGACCTTCTGCCTGCACAGCAAATATTCTACAGTACCACTGAGCTACAGCCCTTTCCCTTGTCTTAAAACTAGAAGCTCAGAAACAAGCACCGCTTGCCAGATTTGCGGGATTAGTTTTAATATGAGCACGATGTCAATAGGAAAGCATCACTTCAAACTTTGGCAGGTCCTGGCAACCTATTGTTTATTGCAAGTCCCATCTGTTATTCTCAGCTTCCTAGCTAATGAAGGCCACTTTGCTGGTGATCAAGACATCCATCATGCTTCTCCCATGCACACACAGCCCAACAGCAACCTGAAAACATCAAGGTCAGGAAGAAATCATCCAACTGAAAATTGCTATTTTTTAAGCGGGGGGGGGGGGGAGAGGGAGGAAGAGAACCAATACTTAGTAAACAGAAGCAATTCCATGTCCTCCACCCCCCAAAAAAACCTTTCTAATGTCAAGACACACCTTTCTTGGTATATATACAAGATGCCTCAAAAGAGCAAATGTCAAAAGAGCTATTTAGTTGTGCAGTTCAAGTATGTCGGTAATATGTGATATTTAGATGCCCTCTCCACCAAAATGAAAAAAAAGCTACTGACCAGAAGATGTCAGATTCCCTTTTAATGTAAAGGTGACAGGCTATAGAAAAAGATACCAACTTCACAGCTGCACAGTTTGCCAAAGCAACTCATATTCTGAGATGCTGTGGGAAAATAGGGTTGGGGTGTTTGGTTCTGCTCCAAAGAAATTGGACAATTCAGAGAGGGAAAAATTCCCGAGGCAGCAGGAACATCCCCCTGGGACCGGGTCCAGTGACGGTGAGACACACTTGAGGGTCACAGGCACACAGTGGCTTCCTTCGCCCCAGGGAAATGGCCAGTACCAATGGGGGGGGGGGGACCCAAGCTCTGGAGTATGCCACTTGATTCCCACCATGACAAATTCTCCTAAGCAGATGCGAGATCAAAGGCAGGAAAGATGAAAGCACCTGCTCAGGCTAGCAAAGAGGGAAGGTGTGTGGATCACTGATCTCTCAGCCTATTCAAGTGAGTGAATAACTCACACAGACCCTAGTTTCGGGGGGGGGGGGGCACGGTATCACCACCTGATGCATTCTTATTGTGTTTCCTTGCACACCAGTTTCTAGAACACAACTCTAATGACCTCTCCCAAACATCATGGCACTGTACTCCCTCCTTTAGCAATTAACCACTAGAGCTTTGGGTGAAGAAAAAGGTTATGTTGCTCCCCAAAAAAATCTATTGCATCACATGTTCATTCAACTCCCCAGAGCTCAACCCCATTTCCTCTAGTGTGGATGGGGAAAACCACTTTTTTATCCACTGCTGTCCACCCCCTAAAGGACTTTCTAGAACATAAGCTTGCTTGCCTTGCCCCCTGAGGAATCCTACAAATCTTTTGTTGCTACAGAGCGCTCGTTCATCCTCAATTCCAAAATCCATTCCCTGCCCCAAACCCTGTAAATACATCATGTCTACCCCAGAAACACAAAATTTCAGCAATAATTATCCAGTTCTTTACCAAGGGCTGCTTCCCCAAAATCAGTACCAGAAAGATGATCACCCTTCATGTAGCACATTTCTAAAATGCCTGTTATGAACAGTTGTCTGTTAAGATCCATCTGGTCAAAGCCCGTAATTGAAGTTTCCACAGAGGGAACTTTTGTCTGAGAACTCCCAGACGCATCCAAGAACCTCCAGCTCCTTCTGCTAAAAGGCACTTGTCAACAGGAGGGTGTACTGCTGTCCCATAAGGACCCTCACGACGTGGCCCTCATTTCCCATACTTTTTAAGAAGCCCTCCAGTCCCAGACAATACAAACTCCTTGCACCTGAATGAGGCTGCCTATCACTCAGAACCCAAACACACCATCTCCGCTTTTGTTTCACACTGGGAGAGCCAGTCACTCAAGCAGCTTTTCTTTTTACAAAATCCCAAGCCGTTCTAGCACGCTTCCTGCATCCATCTCAAAATATAAAAAAGGCAGCCTTGCCAAATCATACCAGAAGGCTCAGATGGAAGCCCAGGACCACTTTCACCTCCAGCAGTGGCGACCCAGGTGCCTACAGGAAGCTTACAAGGAAGGCTACACCCCCTTGTTGCCATCAGCAGCTGGTGTTTAAAGGCATGCTGCCACTGGATGCAAAGGACTAACAGCCAATATCCTATGCTGCTTAACTGTACAAGCAGGAAGAGCCCAGCTGAAAGCAAGGTGCAGCAAGACCCTGATTGCAAATCTCAATTCTAGTTGGAACTCATTGGGTGCATAGCCACAGTTGCAACCATTCTCTCTCTCTCTCCCCCACCCCTTGCAATATAGGTATAAGCAACACAGAGCTACCTTGCAGAGATGCTGCTAGGATTACCGAGAGGACACCCAACAAAAAGCACTTTTGAGCACCCCGGGGTGCCACGTTATCGCTGGAGAAATGCAAGCTCACACACACAAACACACGCTCTGAAAGATGCAATTGCCTTTGCAGCTCATGAGCTACCCATCCAATGCAGACTTACCCAGAAGCCCCTACCTAGTTCACGCTTCGGAGTTGCTTCCAAAGTCTGCGGGCAGCCAGTTTAAAGGGATCTCCTGCACTTGCAAGGAACGACACCCCAAACACAAAACCAGCACCTTTCCAGGGTGGGCAGCCGTGCCCTGGCACCGCCCCCTATTTTTCTTACCAAGCGCCTATTGTCTACCTTTCTCATTATTCGCGCAGAGTAATGCAACACAACAAGAACAAAAACAAATGGTTTAGGGCGGTGCAATCCTACTTCCGTACGACTCATTTAATTACTACCGAGCGGACGTTGCACCCGATTTGCGTTGCTCCGTCCAGAAAATAAGCTTGCATTTTGTTTTTCCCCGCACCCCAAAAATCAAGACACCCCCACCCCGTTTTGTTTTGCAAAACGCCCATTCCCTCCTCAATGCAAGTTGCAGGCTTTCTATGTCCGCACCTTGGTTAACCAGTCTCAGCGCGTGGGTGAAGGACGGATCCAGGGAGTCCTTCTCCGCCATCAGCTCCGGCAGGTACTTCTCCTCCATGGCCCGCCCGCCTGCCCGAGGGAAGGTGGGGGGACCCGGGCTCGCCTAACACGCAGGCAGAAGAAAACAAAAAGAGGAGAGGGAGGAAAAGCGGGAAGGAGAGGAAAAGAGGAAAAACACGCGCGCTCGAACAGCGGTGCAGCGGCAGCCGCGCAGCAAATAAATCCTCGCTTGCAATGCAGCCTCGGAATGGAGAAAAACGGAAACAAAATTAAAAATATATATATTAAGGAGCAAGGTAAGAGGAAAGCAGCAAAAATACGAAAAAGGAGGGGAATCGCGGAGGAAGCGACACTTGTTACGCCCTCCAAGCCGGGCGCATCCAGGAAAAGCCACGCGTGCCTCTGCTTTCCCCACCAAAATCCTGCTTATCCAAACCAGCAGCGCAGCAGCGCCGCTTCCTCTCCCAGACGCAGCCGCCCGCACCGGCTACGAGCCGCGACTGAGCGTTCGAACGCCGGCGCAGTCCTCTTTAAATAGCCGCGCACGCCACGCCCCCGGCTGTCAGGAAGCCACGCCCCCCTGCACTCCCTTCTCAGGCAACTCGGAACAAGGCAGAGGAGGAGCTTTTCGAGCCCGCCCACCTTTGTTGCCTACTGGGTAGGAGACGCGCTTGTCTGCGAAAGAAAGCGTAACTCGCTCTCCGATTGGTTGATTCCCCCCTCACCCCAACCCGCGGCGTTCGGCTGGAGGACAGCGGGGCGTCTCCTCCTGCTCCTCGCTGGTGTTTGAGACTCGCGCGCCAAAATCAACGGAAAAAGGGCGGGAAGGGAGCTCGGGTGCAAGCGTTTCCCGCTGCGGCGATTGGGCGGAGAGAAGCGAGGGGGCGGGCGTATAGCCAATTGAAGCGGCGCGCTCGCGCCAATTGACAGTGGGTGGAGCCGTTCGAAGCCGCCTCAGGGCGCATCAAACGCCTCGCTCGCTCCCTCATTTATTTAGTTCACAAAGTTTATACGCCGCTTCATTGTTATTTTTTTAAGCAACCTCAAAGCGGTTTACAGAAAAATAAAACAGTAAAACTGAGGGGAAGGTCCGCAGTCATGTTTTGAAACAAAAATCACGAAA